AAGTAATGCACTCATGGGACTTATTTAATGCCTTCCCATTTCGTTAAAGTAGTCGTGCATGCAAAATTTGAACAAAATTTGTGTTCTTAACAAAAGGGAAAATGGTTTATTAAAGTCACAAAGGATTATTGTTTGTTTAGGAAATTGAGATAATTGTAGGGAAGTGGTAAAGTTGAGCTAGCATAACAATATGTGCGCCAAGCATTCGGTAAGCAGTTTTGAGCCAAATTTTTTATAGGTTTGCACTTATAAGCACTGTTTTGACAAAACCTCTTGAAAAAGGCCAAGTTAATTGGATCTCCCAGTTTTATTTATCAGCGAATTTACAGCAAATTTCATGGACCTGCCATATTAATGGCTTGTATTGATTTCTCAAAAGGAGAGAATGCGAACCAGCACAGCATTGCCAAACACGGAATTCAATCACCACAACAGTTCTCCAAACATTTAAACTTTATTGGTTAAACAACCATTTTTATGAGATATTAAACAAAGGAACAAGTAGGATAACAGAATCAGGCAAACAAAAGGCAGGTATTAAAATTCAATCCGATAGAATGCTATAAGCCCTGATTTTAAAATTAGGTTGTCGATAATTGCGAACAACACATTCAAATTCTAGTCGATGAAAATCACTAAAAAAAACTTTAAAAAGTAACTGTAGCTGCCATGAAAACGACTCATTAGTATTTCCTAAATGGTGGCATTAAATTAGGGTAATCGACTAATGCTCTTTTAAAATTGTATGACCCAATGAAGATGATGCTTCCTGGAATGCTAGGCAGACAAGGTTATTGTAGGAACCATTTAGTCTTTAGCATGTTCTACACTTTTAAAAGCCCAAAGTACAAGGTGATATGAAATTCGGGCCTGGGGAATAGATACCAGTGTCCCATGTGGACTATAAAACCGAGAGAGACTGATCTCACTAATTTTAATTTAATGGTTTATTTACACAATGCTCATATAAAAATAATAAAACACGTACACATCGTGTCAGACTGTTTAATTTAAAATTAAGTATATATCATCGAATGAAAGCAGTTAAATCTAGTTCCTACCGATTTTTCCAATTTTTAAACGAAAATACAAGAATTAAAATACACAACTCACCTAAGGCATCGGTGCTGCTGTTTTTTCGAGTCATTTACTTCATGCTTAACACATACAAATTATTTCGCGGCTGGAAGAAGAGGCCTAGCAGTCGATCAGAGGAGAAGCAAGAAGTTTGTTCGCAAGCAATAAATGTGGAATCGATAGTAAAATTTGCACAAATGAATTGTCGTAATTACTGCATCAGAATGAATGAATCAGTATTCTCAGTCGTAAAGAAATTTAATTATTTTTTTCAGGATGCTAGATGGATTTAAATGGCATATATATAGCAGAATTTCAAGTAACCAAATAAATTTATTACAATTGTATTAGTGCATTTAAATTGCTGCGGAAAGCTTCTGAAAGTTTTAATGCGTTTAGATACCAAACCACTACGAGCTCTCATTTTTTCTCGTTCATAGAGAAGTCTGAGACTTGCGTTTGTAAAGTATTTTGTCCTTAAATGTAAGCTACGCAACCCTTACCACCCTATTTCTACAACACTTTTATTCACAAACTGCCTTCTCAAGTGGTAATTTCGCAGCACGAGCCCTTACGTTATCTTTTAAGTATAAGACTTTCTTCTGACTAACTGACGGTAGAGTTTACTTATGCACGTTCGATATGTGTTTCACCTAGAAGGCAGTCACAGCCGCTCTTGTTTGGCCTTCTGCAGAATATATGGTGAGCAATTCCTTCAGCAATGCACCGCACAGGCATGCAATGCATAGGCTTCTAGTAATGCTAAGTAGCGCGCGTCTTAGATGTATGGGGTTTGTGTTGAGTGGATTGTTTGGGAATAAACGATAATATGTTCGCTTGGTTATCTATGAGGTATGAAGGACACTTCTCACCACCAATGAATAGGTCACCTAACAAACGGTTTAAAACGGAGAGCATATAGCTAGAAATATGTCGGGTGCGACAACCTAATGGGGCCCATCTGCTTAGTTTCATCAAAATTTCCAGTTGATACAGACGCAAACAAGATGTTTAGTTACTCACGTTAACACTGCCTAAATGGTAGTTATTGACACGTTGAGACTGGTTTGTTTTAATCCGCATCAATACGTACCTTTGCATCGTTGTCTGTAGTAGGGGATCCTTCTTTGATCTTTGAACAATACATTACCAGAAGTAGTTAAGTTTGAACTACTTTTGGGTTATGAGTTCAGTCACCGCACGCGATTTCTATGCCATAGAGACTTCAAGAGAAGCTTCCTAGAAGTTGGAACTAAGCTGAACTCTATTTTTAAAGCAGACAAGCAGATGATGGAGTTTCGCATATCCCTACAATTTATATCATTTCATCGCAGAGAACCATACTGAGAGCCAAATGGAAATTCTATGTCACCTAACCATGGCAAATCATTTTCCATGCGTGATGAACATTTCTATTCCTTGCTTTACATAGTATGCAACAATAAGCTTCCGTTTTTTTTTACTTCAAAGTACAACGGAATTAGCTAATGCGGAGATAATGGTTCTGTTATTGACAACTGAGCATGTTTTTGGGACATGGATATGACTTGTGCCATACGTTACTATTAATTTCCTATTTAATCATTTCCAAACTTCAAGACATTATAGCATTAATGCAAAAAAAATAAGGTGGTATGGAATAATGTGCGGTGATAGCATTTTGTAAAGTAACCGGAGACCCTAATTGCAAGCGAAGCATTGAATATTTGCTTCTACTGAACCTATATTTAACCAAATATGGACGTCACAGAACAAAACTTAGAAAAGGAAATGTCCACCTATGATAAAATTTAGTATTCACTGAACTCGAGCTAGTAAACCTTATGCATTTGAGGCCAATTGCACTTGAGTCTGCCAGTTACGAACATTTTATTAAATTTTTTATAGCATTTGACTAACCATTGACTTTAGCCCGAAAGCCTGAAGTGGTGAATTACCATTTTTAGTCTATTAATGGTAAAAGATTGTGACTTCTGTTCCTCGCGTATTGATACAAAGTGGTATCAGGTTGAGTCGTCTACTACGAGTGGACATCTGATGCCCAATACGTCCACAGTTCTTTACTTTTTACTTTTATTAATTATCCTAAGATAAAATGAACAAGGTCATGATTTCCATTTCCGAGGAGACTTAAAGGGACGTGGGGCTTTCGAATTAGGGTTTAGTTGTATATATAAACACAAAACTCCAAATTATGGTCATTAGAGGAATGATGCAATACTATTGCAAAATTGTACTGCGTAGCATACTTTAGACGTTATAAGCAAAAACTGAGCAATTTTATTTCTGCCAATGCTGTCCAGTAAAGGGCATACAGTGTCATGAAATCCTAACCATTGTATATTGCAAAAGGCTTATACAAACCTGACCTTTTCGGCAACATATTACTCGACGTCGTGTACCACAGTGCGGATGTAATAGATCGGAAGGGGTTTGAAGTTAGTAACATAAAAATTCAATACTTAATATTTAATTATATCTTTCTCCTACAACGCAATTGGCATTTTGTAATAAGGCGTAATAGTCATATTATTTCATTGGAGCAGCAGATGGGTTACAACAATTTTGATTGAAGAAGGCAATCACCTGCAACCAAAGGAAAATTGTGCACCCCTCATAAACTATTTGAAATATTCGTTAAGTTGTGGGAAGAGAGTCATTACCAGTTTGATCCTCTACAACTTACCACTAACACCGCTGCAGGATCTCAATTATCAGCGGAAGTGAATGAAGTTAATCATCAAGAACTTCTCATGAAAAATCACCCAACCAGGTTTTAATGGCAATGACGTAGGATGAGACTACTGATAAATATTAAATTTATTCTGTTGATGCTCTCTCTCTTGATTACATAAATACGCAAGGTCTGTGAGAGTACATCAAGAGAGATATTACACCCTGAGAACCTGTGATAATTATTAGCCAAGAAAGAGTGGTGGTCGTAATGGGAAGAACAGCGATCAGATAAGGCTGAATGGATAAATGTGGTCGCTGCCTGAGTAGCCGACGTTGTAGTGTGAGGTGAAGTGTTTGACGTGGGAAAAGGGAGACAAATTATTACTAGTAAATTAATTTGACGGGTTTTGGAATACTAAGTATAATCTATAAAAATTGATTTCTAAACGCTCAAGACAAATATGGAGGAAAATTAAGAGTTATATAATAGACTAAATATTTTCACTTATGACTCCATTTCAGCCAACCGCACCAATGTGTTTAATAGGCGTTTGAAGAAAGCAGGAGGGGACATTGGGTCGGGCAAAGTACATCCGTGGACCACGCGCAACGATGACAGTGATAAGATTCAGGTCAGTCTTCTACATACTTTAGGCTGATTCATTTGAAAAGGGGGTCACGTTCTAAAAACCTGGACACTGATGGATATAAATTTTTGAAAAAATTAATAAAGAATTAATGCAGTAGAAACTATAATATGTAGAGGAAATTACTGCGTTTAAATAATCAGGAGCGAAATGGCCTCATAGAGTCTATTGAGATTCAACAGCTACGAAATCACCAACAACTTCATAAACCAGGAGAAGTCACTAAAAAACTAGATTGCAATGGACTTAGTTGACCAATAGACAACGAATCGGCTTGCCCTCAAATTGCTTTAAATAATTGCGATTATTCCGTCCTTAAAGAGGCAGCCACGAAACTGGGTTCTTAAATGCGAATAAATAGTGATGTGCCAGATACAGTGTATTATAAAGTTTCGAAGCTCATTAAAAGTATTAACCGTACTTCTCCGTTGGAAAAAAAGGTGCCTAAATACAATATAGTTTTCCTTTTTTGTGGAAGTCGAGGTGTATGCGAATTTTGTGTCACTTTGCTCAAATCAATCACTGTAACAATAATGAGTTTTTTCTCTAAGGAAGACCAGTAAAAATATGCTGCATAAAAAAGATAAGCCGCTGAAAACTTCATAAGATGCTTTCAACCACTTTAGTATAGCTACTTATTTTTTTGCACAGTTTGAGGTCAATAATTAATTTAGGAGAGTCAAATAGTACATGCTTTTTAACGCTTTGCTCAAAAAAAAAACATTCGCCCAATTCCAAACCAACTGTATCCCTAACCAAGACTAATGATAACAATACATTGGCCTGGTCTGAAATTAACTAAAAACCCCTTAAATTACATCATCCACAAAGGAGCCAAAGTGGGTAATGTATTGCCGTTTAAATGTAAAATTTAAGTAATAAATTTGTACTACAACACAATTTGTATTTAAAGGCACCAATGGACAACCTGGCATTTTAACATTGATTTGAAGCATAGAAATAAAACCTCGAAATTATTATAACTACCACAATTTTCCGTAACAAAAGCGACATATGATAAAAACTCTAAGTTA